GGGGGGGGGGGGGGAGGGAAGGAGATGGACCTGCCCCCCTTGACTAAGGCAGTACCAGTTGCCCATGGCTGGGTGTGCTGGTAGCCGTAGAAGGTGATGGGGATGGTGCACAGGGTGCTGGAAGTCTGCCAAGCCTAAGCATCCCAAAGCCCACCCAGGCTTCCAGCACCCCATGCACCATCCCTGCCACCTTCTCTGGCCACCAGCATACCCAGCTGCCCTCCCACCTCCTCCCCATGCTGCCTCAGGGGCAAGCTGGGTATGCTGACAGTCAAAGGAGGCAGCAGGGACTGTGTACAGGCACAGGAAGCCCAGGAGGGCTCAAGGATAGATGTATCAGTGCAATTTATTAGGTAGCAAACTAAAATACATCAGGATGCGTTTTAGTTTGCTATGTAACAAAGTCATTTACATCAAAATATGCCGCCACACGTGTACAGTGTGACAAAATTAAATTGCAATAAGCTGCCGCGCATGTAACATTTGGTGCAATTAACCACTATAAAAAGGGCAATGAAACTGCTAAAAAGGGCAATTTCCCCACGTATACAAGTGCCCAAAAAGTCTACATCCATCTCCCTGGAAGAGTCAACAGGACAGTGTCACAGATGTGGCTTTTCCCAACCATGACATACATGGAAGTGATGGATGATGATTCAGCTGCAAGCATTTTCTTTCTTCTTTAAGAGGTATGAACTCATTCTGTATATGCTATTTTCCTGTCAGAAGCTGAGTTCACTGATTAAGATATTAATTCAGCACCAATATCCAACCACAATGACAGCATGAGTCAAAAGTTCAAGAGGCTGGAATAAGGAGAGAAGGGAAGGATAGACCTTGTGCAAGTCTCTGAACAAAAGTGTATATATAAACATGAGACATCAAAACTTTCCTGCTAGGCCTAATGTTACCTTCTACACAAGCCTCAATTCTCCAGCAAATGCTTTTTGAACACCAAATTTTGCTTACAGACATATCTGGAAGACAGTGAATGCTTAGTCACTGGATAGGATGTTCTCTGGCTGAAGATGTCTTGACATTATGCCTTCACATAATCTGCTGAAACATTTCATATCATTCAAGCAAACTCCTGATGTGATTTAGATTCTGCAACATGGCATGCAATTAAAGAGCTAAAAAAGTGTTGCACAGGTATAGAATTAGCCTGTTCAATATAAGATATGAATGACAATCACAGAATATCCTAAGGGATAGGGAGGGCTCTTCATATGCTAAGAGGCAAGATAATTTTCAACCATGTCACTGATTCTGATTAGTAATTATAAAATATTTTTAGTTACAATGTCAACAGGATGTGGAAGTGCTAAGCACTATAAAAAAGGACAGGCCCCTTATTTAAAGTGCTTTATTTCATTTCAAGCTGTAGGGCTAGTTCTTTTAAACTTTAGTTGTCTATGCTAGTTTATAAGGAAAAACATTGTCTTCTTTGAGCTCACCACCTCTGTACAAGGATGTGTAAATGGACAATGTATGGAGAATTCCAAGATTTAAAATGGTATTTGAAAGGGTTACTTTCTTAAAGAAACATTTAATACAAATCAACAAAATGCAAACTGCATTTGCTCTCCTTGGACAACAAACATTAGTTTCATTTTCTCTCATCTTCACCAGCACAATGTTCTATTAGGACTTGCTGGAAAACAAACAAAGGTAAGACAAGACAAGAATTTGTATTTTATTAAACAAATCCTAAACCCATGGATTTACTAGCTGGCTATATTTTCTAAAACAGAAACTTGTTATGGGAGATGCACTTTGGAGCTGGCTCCTGGCTTTGTTTTCAACTCTGCCACAATGCTTCAGAGCCTGACTGCTCAAAGGATCCTATCTTCTCCTTCATATTGTACCCACACAGCAACAGCAATATACAAAAAAGTGTTCACACCAGCACCTTGGCATAAAAAGTATCTGCTAGGATGTTCTCTTTGAAGAACCAACTTAAAAAAAAAAAACCCTTCTTCTCTAGACTCCCACTCCTTAGCTTGATAAAACAGAGCTTTAGTGCAATGCTGCCAAACTTGTGCAAATGCTTTTCCAGGGAGACAAGGTTGAGCACCTGGGAGAAACTGGCTTAGTAGGAAATACTACTGACATTTTGCTGATATTGGGCAAAGACACTAAATGCCAATGGTTAGTTGTTATGCACCTTGTTTATAGGTGTCATTCTGAAGTTTTGTGCAAATCCTTGAGTTTGTAAAATCCTCTTAAAATTAATGACTAAAAAAGTCACAGTGTTCCTATTGTCTCACCCCTGGCCTTCCATTTTCAAACTGATGCTACTGGCCTTAGAGTCCACTAAGTAAAACCAGGTGAGAAAGCCACAAGGCAATTTTAAGTGAGTGCTGGTGCTCCAAAGAATACCTAGAATACAATAAAAATCTTTTCCATAATTTCAACTTAAACTCAGAAACTTACGCAGTTACACTGAGATAAAAAACCTCAACATCAAATTTCGGAGATGACTAAAGCTTTAGCTATACACCTTAGCTTCACTACCTTACCACTGACCTATTACATATACACATGTATATACAAATTTACAGCTACTGAAAGGCCTGCTGCCCTGGAAAAAAAAGCTGTATCAGGACTCCTGAACTGTAAAAACCACTGAAGGAGGAAAAAAACAAATACAACCTAAAGACCATCTTCTACACTGATGGAACATAGATCCCATAATATGGCTTGTGTGTCATACAAGACCCTGACTCAGCCCACTATATGGGTCGGACGTCTGCTAACATTACCTCTGTCATCTATCCCAAGAGAGACTACACGTCCCTACCATATACCAAGCTACTTTCATACATCTAGTAATACACTAAGGAGCATCCTACCACCTTACGTTCCTGAACAACCTTAGAAGGCAAACCAGAGACTCTGCTGTAACCAGTAGATACTGGAAAGAGTGAGCCTATAGGATACCACAGCATTGTATATATACACACCACTGAAAAGTTGCATTTTTTCAGGACAGATGTCTAATTTTCTGACCAACCCAGCTATTGGCTTAGTAACAGGACAAATGTGTCACTAACCAAATTGCTCAATTTGAACTTAGATAAACAGCAGCAGCAAAATAACTTAGGAAAGTCTTACTGCACTACAGACCATATAACAGGGGTGGGCAAAATGGTGGATCCAGCTGGCCTCCATTTCCCAGCAGCCCCTGCCCATGTTGGTTTCCACAGAGACCCCAGCAGCAGCAGGGAGCTCGGGTTTCCATGGAGACTGGCCCCATCAATGCTGCACAGGCAGGTGTATCGGGACCGCTTTCTCACTGCGGTAGCAATGCACAAGCAGCAGACTGCAGTTCTGCCCTGGCTCTAGGCTACATTCTCAACACAAGATCCTGGCCCTGGAGCAGCTCCCCACCAAGCCATGCACCCTGCCAGCACTGCTGCAGCCAGTCTCCATGGAAACCCTGGCCCTGCACTGTCACAGGCCTGCCGCTGCTGGGTTCTCCATGGAAACCAGCTGCAGCGACGCAGGCAGGGGCTGCTGGGAAGTGGAGTCGGCTGTGGGTCCAATTCGGCAGATAGGCCAGACTTTGCCTGCCTCTGCCATACAAAGATATTTATTTCCATACACAAGTGACCTCGTACTGGGCACACGGTTTTGAGCTAGAAGTTAAAGGAGGGATATAGCAGTTAAATCTCTGGCCAAGAATAACCCAGGATTCAAGTTGCAACTCCTTCCTGTAAAAAGCGAATAGTTAAAAAAAAAAAAAAATCAATAGAAAGAAGTCTGGCACATATACCACTGCCCTGTAGCAGTAAAGAGGAGTAAAATCTTAACCCAATTAATGAATGTTTCTAGCCACCTCAAAACAATCATCAGAGACACAATGACTAACAGACCTCCACAAGGCACCCAACCCTGAAGATCAAATATTTGCAGGATCTTAGTAACATGTTCATTCCTGTTTCTATTGAGAGCATGTAGAAAAATTCCTAAGCCATACATGTACTGGTAAAACTGAAAGGGATTTGAGGGATGGCAAAAAACAGCCAACACAGGCACCTTCTCTTTGAAAGGGGTTTTTTGAAGTAATAATTAAGTTTTGTAACCTAATATGCAAACTAAAAAAATGTCACAACAAGGAGTGACCTTTCAGTAGTTGGTACATGCTGCTACGTAAACTGTTGTGACATCCATAGCTTATCCAAAAGGTTCTCTTTATATACTAAGCATTAGGGCTGTGCGAAGCTTCAGTCCCTGATTCGATTCGGCAGAGATTCATCCTGTGTGGTGCTCCATCCGCCCCAGCATCGCAGTGTTCACAAACCGTGCTGGTACCTTGAGGTACGCAGAAAAATATTTAAAGCTGTGTCTGTAGTCAAATTGCTGATTCTCCGAATCAGCATCAAATCTTCAGATTCGGCCGAACCTAATCAGGGACAGTGATCCGAATCAACTAATCAAGTCACTGTCCCCGATTCCGGCCAAATCTGAATTGAACAGGACCCATTTCGCACACCCCTACTAAGCATTCATATAATTCATTATCACATCAAGCCAGTAATCATCACACTTGTGGGTTTTAATAGAAATGTGTCCATTATCGAAGAGGCATCGCTTACCTTTCCATCAGTTTCTCTTTATCCCAGTTGAAATGGCTAAGAAGTATTCTGGTGATAGTTGCTGGATTCTAGAGACAGAAAATAATGAAAACCAGTTAATACAACAATACATACCCTAACCCAGTCCACTGATGACCAGGGACCAAAATAAGAGTGTGAATAAGCACAGGAAGACCAGAAAACTAACTGTTTGACAAGCCCCATTCCTCATTCTTTAAGCACGCTTGAAAGTAAAAGGTGATGGTTTTACACTGATTTTAACCATTCAATCACAAGTAGTAAAATACAAATAAAATGAGAAGGGCAGATCTGTAGACTTAATGAGCCACCACAGCAGCCAACTTCATGACATCTAGCATTTATAATAAAAGACAAGCCTTTTGTAAAATTAGGTCAAACTGGCTTTGAAAGCAACACTTGTACCCGGAATGAAAACTGAATGAGGAAATAAAAGGCCACAACAAACAACCCTGTGCCTATCTAAAGAAATAGATGTAGTGCAACACAGAAGAGATCAAAGTCAGGATGTTCTCTAACTTAGGACCTGAAAGAAATTGCAAATGGCATCCTCAGCACCTGTCTGTGCCAAAAGCTTCGTGAGCAACTCGGCCAAAGGCTGAAAACTGTCACTTAAAGGTGGGAGTTTCCCATCTGTAAAATGAGAATACTGTGTCTGTTCCAATATATTCGGCTTGTAAACTTTTCTGGCCAAGGACGGTTTAGCTTGGTATACTACATAACCACTGTACAGTGAGGAGTTCCGCCAAGGCACTGAAGTAATAATAAAATACAAGTAACAGAAAATACTTGGGGTGCACCAACAGATTTGTTGGGCTGATACCAATGGCTGATTTTTAGCAAGCCATATCAGCTGATACTGATCAGATTCTGATATGCAGCCAGGCAGTGTGGAGAGTAGCATCCAGCTGATAAGTCTGGTGTGGAGAAATGGCA